TAAAATATTCCACAAAACAGTTACTCAAAAAGCTCTGATTTCTCAGGGCTTTGAAGCAAGATGTTGGGATTTCTTGGGGAGGGCTAGTGGTGCTGCTGTCTTATATAAATAGATGCCTCTTGGCCCAATTCTCCACAACAGGTTTTTTACTGTGTTGCCAGTGACATTAGTTTTTCCCTTTTTCTATTGCTTTATGTTATTTATCACAATGTGGTTTACCTTTCAAACCAAAACTGTGACCAGAAAGACAAACACCCCACTGGAAAGGAGCCACAGCCACGGCCTCCTGAAATGCTGCCCCACTCTTAAAAACAACTTTGATCCTTTTCCCCAGCGCTGTCCATCCTCTACAATGAACAAGACAAAATCCTATTCTATCACAAAAATATCATAGGACTGTGATATTGGTAGTAGCATTAGTATTATGGTATTCGTATTAGAGATTATTAGTATTATTCATGTTCAATAGTTCATTGTTTTTATTGTTACCATTATTGTTGTTATTGTTACCATTATTGTTGTTGTTGTTATTATTATTATTATCATCACACTTTATATATGCAAAAGTACCATTCTGAAGTCTCTCCACCAAAATATTTAGTTTCCAAGTGAGACCAAGAATGAGCAAGAGAAATCACAATGCAAACAGATTTATTTATTTTTATTACAACTTAAAAACACAACTCTGCTTGTACTTCTATTCCTGATTATTCTCAAACATGACTGTACACGCTGAATTATCAGCTGGCTACCTGTGGGTGACTTCCTTGGTTATTCTCCAAATATAGGAACACACCTGTATTAGACATGGGTGGAAAGTGTTAAAGTCAGCTACTGATTATGTTTTCTTCAGCTGTGGGTGATCTGAGGTTCTTGTTGAGTGACTGTTCAATGCACAGTAAAAATATGGTGCCTTGATAAATGACATTAAAAAAAAAAAGTCACACCAGGCAAAATCATGAGACACTGGGAGAAATCTTGGCCTTAAATTCCAAAGCTGTTCTCCAGTTACTGTGTTATTCCAGCTCAGGGGAATGAACGTTGGAGGTATAAAAAGTGGGGCTTTTTTTTCCAGGGGCAAATCTGTAACCTAACATAGACCAGCATAGGCCTCTGTGTGACATGTTTCCCATCTGACACCCTTTAGACCAGGCATCCCGAATCTCTGCCCCCAGCAACCCTGGCATGTCCTATATTGCCTTATGGCTTAGTGGTCTCAATTAGAAGTAAAAGATGGATGCACTTTCCTGTGTAGCCAGAGCAATGCAGAGGAGAAAGTCCCCCACAGGGCAAATCCACAGATTTGTACTCATGTTCCCCGTGCCAGTATTTCAACTTCCTTTTTTAAAACATGAATGAAGAAGTAAATGTATTGGAAAGGCCAAAAGGACTTTGGCTCCATCTGTCTTTCTCAGCCAGCTATTAACCCAGTGGCTAGTCTGTGGTCCAGGAAGTGGAGAGGTAAGTGGCCACACCATCCCAGCTTTAGCCTTCCCACAGGATTTGGCTGGTCTCTACCCCATTGCTCTCTACCTTAAACTGAGGTCACAATTCAGAAGGAGGATCAGGAGAAGTGGACAAGGTAGTTCAGGTGAGGGAAGAGGGATGAAACTGGGAGCCAGATTAGGGATACAAGCCCTGGTTGGGCCAGGAGGGACGTTTAAGGAACAGGAAGGTTGGAAAAGGAGGGGTTCAATTAATGTATCAAACAAATAAGAAACCATGAGTTACCCAGAGATGAGAGGTGCTGGTTTTGAGGTCTGTTCATGTGACACCTTTGGAGACGGGGAAAAGGGATAATATTTTTAAAGAGTGTGCAATAGTCTGTATTCATAAAGTAATCAAAGTACAACATTCTAGATGTACGTGTGTACCTATCACACACATGTGATAATCTCAGAAATACAAAAATGTGTCCTATGTCTCCACAAAAGTGTGTGGCCAGTATTATATCAATTTTACTGGCTCTGAAAACTCAAAAATGTAAGTCAGTAAAAGCTACAAACGTGTGGCAATTCTAAAGGTTCATAACACACCTGTATGCATACCTTGATTTTCAGAACACACATGTAGCAGCATACTAAAGACATTTTTAAGAATCCAGATCATTCCTTCTGCCTTTTACAAGAAATTTATAGAAATTACTGAAGTAAAGTTTTAAAAAAAGTGATGGAAAGGATATAGGGAGCATACGCTTTTTTGTTGTTTTGTTCTTCTGGGAGCTTTGGATGCTGAAATTTGGATGGGATTTTGTGCACTCTGGTCATTTGTGCTTAGAGTCACAAGCAACTTCAACTTGGTTTTCTGTCATCCTTGCTCCAGCAAGACTCTTGTAGCTCATTTCTAACATTAATCACTTGGACTATAAATCTCTGCAATGGATATGGCCATTTAAATCTCCACCTGCACAAACAACAATCAGGCCTAGAAAATAAGAAGGGTCATAAATCTCCACACTGGTGATTAGTAATATTTTGGATCTGCAAAAAGGATGTTATAAAGTAGAAAGAAAAAAGCTAATTCATTAATTAGGACTAATACTCTGACAATCTGTTTAGTTTGTACACAGAGAAAACATAAATGGGGCACAGTTAACATAACATAACGTTAGAAGTTGGTGAATTCCCAAGAGCCCAGGGCTTGGAGATATGATATCTTAATGTACTTCTCCTGTTGAGAGTGGGAAGGTGTTATCTTCCAGCCAAAGAGTAAAGACCTGGTGTAAAGTTTAGATCTGCGTTTTTTCTTCTGGCTTATGTGACCCAAAGACCCAAGATGGATCAAGAGGTAGGAAATATTTCCTTGCTAGTTATCAAAAATGACACTCTGCCTCCCAGAGAAACTTAAATCTCCAGACAGGACATAGCGCTTGGCACACGTATCAGTTTGGCCCTCCACAATTTTTGTTTGTTTATTTGTTTTTTGTTTAGTGCATGCAGAAAACCAGTTGTGATAATCACACATATCAGTTAGAGACTTTCCTGTAGCTCCAGTGACCTTGGATTAACTCTGAAGCCACTGCATACCATGGTGACATCTCAGGCTGTACATTTTTGGTCAGAGCCATGTGAATCCTCAGGTAAACATCTGAACAAGTGGAGTTGCTCCTTCAGTCTCGTCAGTTATTGTGTCAACAAAGGTCCCATGTACAGATCGTGCACAGTTCTTCAGTCCCCTGTGTTCAAAACCCAGGCTGCTGGGGGACCTGCAAGGTTGCAGGAAGTGTGTGAGGAAGGAGGGAGTTAGGGGAGCAAGTTCATGCTTCAGTGGCCTCTTGGGCTCCACATGTGGGTTTAGGAGAAGATTTTACTCAGAGAGGAAGAAGATATAGGCCAAGGTTAACTGTTTTTAAAAGCCTGCTCTGCAGAGACCGAATACATACTGCATAAGGATCGTAACTGCAGTGTACGTCTGCTCATTCCAACTACGCAGCAACCTGCTTCTTCACACGAGTGGTGAAACAACTGGGGATGTTTGGCTTCAATGATGCCCTCACCTTCACCGCTCCCACAGGAGGGCCCTTAATCTCGCCCTTCTACTCAGGCAAAACTCCCTGACTTTTGAGCACACACAAATCAGCAGCCAGAGCACTGCACAGCAGAACAGGACACTGATATCTGCTCTGCAACAACATGCCAGGAAGGAATAGGGAGGGAGGGGGTGTGTGTTTCTGTGTGATCTTTACCATCCAATAACCCCCCTCCCTTTTCCTTTATGTCCATCCTTATCCACGCTGACCCTCCCGGGCAGCATGGGGCTCTGCTCAGCAGAGCTCCATGGGCTGCTGGGATCTCAGCCACCCAGCCCACCTGCAGACTGGGCAGCCTCCAGGGCACTTAACAACTGGGGGGACTCAAAGACCTAGGTGGGATCAGGATTTGCTGCAGGTCACCCAGGAAAGCTGGAAGAAGTCAGATCTTCCTGGACTGTAGACAGCAAGGTCCAGGCTGCCGGCTGGGCAGTGGAGTGCTTTCTTCCTGGAATACACTAGTAGCTGGACAGGATGCGTTTGCAAATATAATCATCCACAAATCTCCCCCAGATTAGGTTACAAGACAGTGTTTCGATGGCACACATTACAAAGCTCCCTGGAAGGCTTGGCTGGTGGATCTGCTGCTCTCTCTCTGCTCAGGACCCATTTTGGCTTTCATCAAGAATCATGACACGAGCTGCCTGGGTCATCTAGAAGGCAGGGAGGGGGAGAGCAACCCTGGGCTGGAAAGGGAAGTGAGGAAGGAGAAGAGGAGGAGAAGGAAGGGGGAGGATAGAAAGACAGAGTGGGGAGAGAGAGAGAGAGCGAGTCGCTTTGCTCAAGTTGTGAAGATTTGAATCCCAGTTCTGAGCTCTCAGCAAAGGCTTGCCGGGATACCTCATTCCCAGTCCTGTACAAAGGTCTGTGATTGGGGATGTGGTGTGCTCAGCGGGCAGGGCCCCTCCCCTGGGCTGGATCCGCCTCTCTTATCCCCCAGATAAATTACTAGTGTCCTCACTAAATTCCTCGGCTTTCTCTCTCTCTCCCTCTCCCTCTCTCACACACGCTCACTCCCTCCCTCCAACACGGGCGAAGCAGGGTTGGGGGGCGGGAAGGCGGGGATCCTCTCTGGACTGGTGTCGCGCCTTAGTGCTGCGGGG